ACATCCAAGTTGTAGATTCACGTCATCAGTGACGAAACCAGCACACGGTGAGGTGCCCCGTTGGAATTTACAAGTCGCATGCTGCCATTGTTGCAGAATTCCAGTGCCGCTGGGAAGCTTGAAGACTTGGATGAATTAGGGAAGGAAGAAAAAAAGTTAATTTTGGATTTAGGCATTTTAAGTTTATTATTATCATTTGAGGAAATTATACCTACACCTGGAATTAGATTTCCAATTTCATAATTAAGATCACAAGTTTAACATTTCAAAAATCAGGTTTTAATTAATAATTTAAAAACATTTTTTATTTTTATTTTTATATCTATATATAATAAAATAATTTGACACAACCAAACCCTAAATCATTTCAACCACTTCTTCCCCTCCACCCTCTATCCTCTCACCGCCCACCGCCCCAATTACCTCTCCACTCCTCCTCTCGTCTCTCTGCTCGCCGCCGCCGCTGCCACAGTCACAGCCGTCACTATTCTTCCTCTCCTTTCCTCTTTCTATCTACAACTCTCCATCTCTCTCTTGTCTCGCTCTCGTCTCCACGGCTGCTACAGAGCCATCGTCTAGCGATGCCGCCGCCCAGATCCGTCTCCCAAATCCGATTTGAGGTCCAACATTTCGTCTGTGTTTACACCCCACCCCGATCCGCCCTCCTAAATCCGATTTGAGGTCCAACATTTCGTCTGTGTTCTTTCATCCGTTAATGTCGCATAGAGGGGGAGAATGTTGTGTTTGAAATGAGGTTTGTATGTTGTTTTTGTGATGATGTTGGTGGCGTAGAGGAGGCGGTGGTGTCGTGGTTGTTGTAGCTGGTTGGGTGCGACGTTCGTGGTGATCGTGCGGTTTGCGATGGTTGGCTGTTGGTTCCGGTTTGCGATGGTTAGCTATTAGTTGTTGTAGCTGGTTGGCTGTTGGTTCATGTGTTTGTGATGGTTGGGTGTGTGTGTTTGTGCGGCGGTGGTGATCGTGTGGTTTTGGTGTGTTTCTGGTTGCGTGCGGTGGTTGCGTTTCTGTGCGATGGTTGTGGTGTTTCTGTGCGATCGTTGCGGTGTTGCTATGTTATGGTTGGATGTGTGCGTGTGTGGCGGGTGTGGTCATGCTACGCGCGATGGTTGTGAAGATGCGACGACGGTGGTGGTGCATCTGGTGGAGACAGTGGCGAAGTGGTGGTTACAAATGATTTGGTGATGGTCACAAATGATTTGATTTTTTGTGACCAATAATTTGGTTGGTTTGTGACCTATGAATTAGTTAAATTGTGACCAGTATAAGTTGTGTGACCTAAAAATTATTATATGTGACCAAGAAATTGATAAATTGTGACCTAAATAAGTATTGTGACTTATAAATTTTGTGATGTGTGACCAATGAACAAATTGTGACTTTTAAATTTTTAAGTTGTAACTAATAAATAAATTGTGACCTATGAAAATTTTGAATTGTGACCTAAAAATTTTCACCGGAGTCGGAATTGTCGCCGGAACAAAGTGGCGGCGGAACGATCATCGGAATCGTCGTCGAAATCGGAGCAGTCGTCGGAGATGAGTTGTGACTGGAACGGTAGTCGGAATAGTTTTCAGAGCGATAGAGGTGGTGGAGGTGGGGTGGGGTAATAATATTATAATAAAATTAAATATTTAATAATTCATTAATTCATAAATAAAAAATTTCAAAACCTGATTTGTGAAATTCGAAACTTATTTTTGTATTTTTGAAAATGTGTCAAGTAAATATCTTAGCAAT